TTCCTCCTTCATATTTATTTTCAAGGCGGTGCAAACATTCTTCTTGTAAGGTTTGAAAAATTTATGGCGACCAAAAATAATCCGACGTATCAGAGACTTTTCCTATTGGTTCGCGAACAGGGATATGACGTATAAGTACAACTGTTATTCATCACTTCTACCCTGATGATAGAGGTAAGGCGGCCTTCCGATACCCTGGATTGTAATTTCATACTTAAAGGGCTAATCGATCCAGGAAATTTAATTAAAATTCTTCACCTTTATCGTCTTCCTAGTTTAATCCTACGTTCTGGCTCGACTCATATATCACATGACAATCTTTCTGTTTGTCCTCCAGTATTAATTATGTCTGTTTCCAACAGGGCGGTACTCCGAGACTTCTTGAGCATTACTACGGGCATCATTTCTGCGTATGTAATATTGTTCTTCGTGTTTCCTTTTTTCAGATTTTACGACTTAGGTCTTCCGTTCTTTTTGGGTTGAAAATTGTTTTTAAAATGACGGAATTCTAAGGGTTTTTATACGGCTTCATGGACGGGTAATAGTCAAGTACTTACACAACATAAAAAATGCTGACCTTCTCTCATGGCTCAAATTGGATTCGAGTCAGCCGTTAGTATTCCAAGACTTCAAGCTCCTTGAATCAACATCGGCGGAAGGGTGATCATTTTTAGAATCTATCTTCGCAGTACAAGTATTGCCACCTGTTGGTTGACTCTTACAATGATGTTTCATTTTTAAGTTTATGTAACTCCGAATAAAGGATTTCCTTAATTTATGATCAGCTTCGTGGGAACAGCAGAATACACTAAACGCAACTAATTTTCTCATCCTCCAGCTTGAAACTGGTGACAAGAAAATTTTCCGAAGTTATAGAAGCCTACGTAAATTCCAGGTGCGGGTAAATACAGGCTAGCTAGTCGTATCCAATTGGCCCTTGTTTGTCTGAAAGACCGTTTCTGACACCAGTGATTGAAAACTGGGTGAAGGTTTTCAATAAAAGACGAAAATGTCAGTCCTTTGGATATATGGCTCGCAAGTCACCTTTATCCAGGTAAAATACCAGGGAGGGAACCTAGAAAATAATGAACTCCCTTCGGTTTGAAATTGACTGCTAGTTCTTATGTGATATTCTTGGTCGTGTAGTGTTGTTATACTGGAAAGAAAGGAGGCTGGTTCAATGCAACGAGTCCTTTGTCCTTCTTAAAATATTCGGGCTGAATTTTGCAGAAAATATCGTAATGTTTAAAATTAATAGAACAACTTTCTTTCTATATGCGATATTCATGCGATGAATGTTAGTGGAGTCAGATTCTAATTTATTTATTTGTAATTGTGAATGGGTTACATATCAGTATTCTAACAGTATTTTCTTCTTGGGAACATTTTGTTTGACCTCACTGAATTTGAATCCTCAGGAATAAGATCCGGAATCATTGACGTGAAGTCAGTGGACACTTCGTACATCCGATTCTGTTTTGATTGTATACACAGACGATAAGCGCATTAGTCACACGGAAGAACAGTGTCATCTGGAAGGCAAGGGAGGGGAAGTTGCCCTAAGAGTAAGTTGGGTTTATTAGTTTAGGTAATGGCGCAGTAGATTGGATGGTACATTTCGGTGTTTAAACACCCATTGTGTGGGAAGGTGGGTGGGTTTTGTGTGTAGAATTACCCTGTAGGTCCTACACCTGGACAGAATGTATACCTCTCTTTGTTCAGAGATTATTCGACACTCGATATTGTAAATCGTTTAGGACAGTTTCTCATCGGGGGTCCCACAAGTTTTGCCTAGGGAAATGCGAGTTAAGAAGTTTCTACTCTATTATTTTGATTATCGTACTCTGTATTTCCGCATTGAAGTGGTGTAAGAATGTGACGACTAAAGCTCTGAGTTTTATCCATATTTCAGTTAGCCTATATTCTATTCTATCAAAATATATTAAGTAATCTGGGGGATTGAGTCCGTGATTCCAAACTGAGAAACAGTGATTTAGAAGAAAATGTGCTTGTGACGTATATATGAAATTTGACTTTGACCGATTACAACTAGAATTCTGGGTTTTCACGGTGGCGAATTGGTTATGAAAATGTCCGTCTTCAACTAAAGCTAATTTTTCTGTTGTATGTTCGTTCAGTGGAATCCGTTAACAGCACACTGACAGTTGAGAGTCGGATAGAACTGGCGCAGAAAGCAGTTCTCTGCATTTTCTGCGTCATCGTGCACTGCAGTTATGACGACAACTCTCATGTCGAAGATTTCTCTCTTCTGGGTTGTTGCGTGAGTAGTCTGGTAGATGTTTACCAACTTTTCAGAGGTCATACTGCCTCCGTCATCGGGGCGATTCATAGATCAGACTACACAGAGTAACAACCCAGAAGACAGAAATCTTCATACTCACCGCTGTGAAAACGTCAAATCATACAACTCTCATGTCGTTTAAAGTGTATGATTTAGTTGAGAATAAAAAATAATAGTGCCAGTTTCAATTGCCTCGCGATGTAAGGTGTAAGCTGGCTAAAAATGAAAGCACATTACAAATATTGAAGAGGTCAAAGCTACGTAAATGCTACCTACACGTACTCATAATTCCAGCTGTATTTTTTTCCACGAGCCTTATTCTCGTAACTGAAAGTACTTGTCCTTTTAAAGTCCCTGCTTTTGTGCTTCTCACAGTGTATAATAAGCAAATCTTAATTTGATCTTTCTTTAACTAGATCACAGTCTGAATCCTACATAATGCCTTTGTCTAAGCTGATTGAATTCTGTTCCGATATATTTATGTATGCGATAAATAATATCACGGCCAGTGAGGGATCGAAATTCTCAAGAACACATTTGGAACTACGAAAGGGGGGTACTTCCAGCACTGCCTTAGTGATACCAACTTCGTCCTTATAAAGGCAGAATCATTTGTGCTGGTAGAGCCTCGCAGCTGGCAAACCGTAACGAACCGTTGTTATATCATTATTGACACAGTCAACAAGACCCGGTGACAGTATTTTAAGACAAATATATTGCCATACGACGGCGTGTTTGAGAAATGGTTGCTGAGAAATCTGCAAATATTTGATATTACGTAATATGAGATTACATTATGTTTGGCCCCATACCGAATTTGCAATTGTAATTGTAAAAGAGCAGATAATTATGCCATGATGTTTTAAGCTGCTGCACTTATTGTGAAGAAAAATAGGCCCATATTACCACCATGTTCATCCTTGTAATTTTCCATCTAATAATTTCGAAACAGTTATCAGAATTTCTTTAAACTTTATGAATGCCATACTACTACACGCCACGCCATCGATTAACATTTTAATTATCAGTCATCAAATGAACTAATGTGGAGGCCTTGGGGTCCTATCAGGCAGGAACGACACTGGTGTCTTTTAAAATGTGATAGCCTAAATGTTAATAGTGTGTGTAGGCCTGTATTTCTCGTGTTTAACCGCTCGCGGTTGGTGTCCAATTTAATTTAAAACGTCGGCTTTCGGTGATCAGCTGCGTTGAAGAGTTTCGAAGGCGTTGTAACCTGCCGTACAAATATTGTAGCTGCCATCTTCAGGGTGAATGTGGGTGGATAGGGGTGAGTGAGTTCGTATAAATAATTGATAGTTGGGTTTGTGTGGAAGGTGAGTGACGTTACTGAGAGAACGGAGGAGCGGTGTTCTAGCCAATGGGATCGACTATGTGGTTTTTGAAAAAAGATGGCGAAAACGTTTATTTCGGTGCATTTGATGAATAAGAGTTTCGTTTGCAGTTCGACATATATCCAGCCAATTACAGGGCCTGCTCAGATATTGCCGTGTGGGCCCCAACAAATCTTGTTTTCGTATCGTTGGTCCTGTTTCCTGATAAAACATTATTCTGCATTGATAAAGTCTTCTTGGGCTATCAGCCGTGTTAGATGGTGATCAATCGCCGACGTTTCGGGGACCATCTCTGTCCTCATTTTCAAAGCTGTTGACTGTGTGGCTCGTAGCGCGAACTGGTCCTCGAAACGTCGGAGATTAATCACAATCTAACACGGCTGAGAGCTCGAAAAGACTTTATAAATGAAAGCCGTCGTGAAAGCTTCACATAATATATCGTTCTGCATGCCAATGATTATAAATGTGCATAACTTTTGAATCTGAGGTGGTTGTCCACTCAACGAATGCCCAAAAGACGAAATACATTCTCCAGTTGTGAATCCTTTTGAATACGACGATGAAAATCATGGCGCCATAGAAGGTGGAGAATATCTTGACCAGCTTACTGACTATAAAATTCCCCAGAATGTCTCTTTTTCAGGGACTTGTAGAATATGTAAGTTCGTGATAGTTTTAAAAATCTATAAACATGTTGTGGAGTTGACAGAATTTTTTTCCTCTGTATCAGCGAATCGGCTAATTCAACTAACGTATAATACGGCCTTGACTATGTTCAGAGAGGAAGTACAGCACCTAATAGCATCTCAGATCTACAAAGTTTCTTCATTTTCCTCGTATCTTGTCTTTAAGAGCCGTTCATATCGCAAGATACAGAATCACTTGTCTTCTACCGCGCGATCATTGTTAACTTTGAATCGGTTATCACATCGTCAACAAACTTCCTATTGTTCCATTAGACTTAGCATCACTATAGATGCAGTTTATACAAAATAGCGCCGTAAGTTAATAAAGTTCTGTGTTATGCTTGTAATTTCCCTCAAAGCAAATTTTAATACACAGGCCCACTTTAGCAACAGGATTCTTGACACTTAAACTGAAGTTTATATGCAGAAACTGGTAACACTTGTGTGTTGGCACCTGCCAAATCTCATGATTATATTATTCGATAATTTTGTGTCAAACAGCTGTTTTAATTTAATTTGTGGCTGCATTAAATGTTTTATTTATTTATCAAAATGAAAAAATAAATAAATATTCGCAAACCTTACAGCAGATTTATTGGCAGAATAAAACTTTGTAGAAAAGGATGTATGAAACCCAGCAAAAAAATAAAACACCAGTAGGACTCTTTAAATTATATTTCTTTAAATAAACAACATAATACCATATATTTTATCAGTCACATAAAACTTCTTAATGTACATTACTAATACCTATTTATACACATATTATGCATGTTTCATTTTCATAATATTTACAATAATTTATTAACCATACGTATGTACAAAATTGTGCACGAGATAATATGTTCAGGACATGACGTTCACAACCGCCAGCTGGAGTCAATCTAGTGATGTGAACCCAAACCATACTGTCATTAATTTTACAAATCATTCACTTTTACTCTCTAAACTATTTCATAACGGTTTTCCGACGTTACACTGCCATCACTTTATTTTAGGAACATTCTTATAATGAAGTAATGAAAATCTATAAAGTTACGTCATGAAACCATTATACTGATCTGCGTCATTCTTAATAATATTTGAGCTTTTTATCATTATTGTTCGTGATGAGATCAACTTTGACACTGGACGATGAGCAATAATTCATAATAGGGCTTTTAATAAAAGTCCACTTAGAAATTATAATAAAATAATAAATCGAATGAGATGGTTTACATCGTCACTGTTATCGGAGCAATAATTTGTGATGATTGCAGCATATTAGTGATTCATAAGCCTCATGACGGCGGATTCCAGTAATCCAAGGACTCTTAATCTGGTGTAGCCACGTTTTTGTTATCGTGTGGAAGTAAATTAGTCCAAGGCCTATTTTGCTGTTTCACATATGACATTGGGATCAGTCACAGCTTATTCATTCCTCCTGTTTCCGATATGCGGCATTGATGAAGCAATGTGTTCCGAGGAGCCTTTAGCTTCTACTACTAAATGTCGTCCTCTTCCTCTGTTATCATTCGAACTTTGCTTTTCATCAGTAGTTAGATTTCTGATCTGGCCACTGAGCTATAAAGCACAACTTTCGACAAAAGATCGACATTTTCTGAAAGGAATAAAAACTAAATTCAAGGACTGTGCTGTGGGCCTTCTTTGGTACATTTACTGCACGCCAGAAAATATACTTCCGCAGTGTAAGGGGTTAAGTTGTCGCTTTGCTAAAGTACCATGTCATGATGTCGCATGGGGAAGTAATCTTCACAATTACACTGGTTGCAAATGAGTAGTCACATTCAGTTTCCTGCTGCTTTAATCTCATAACTATCGTAGAAGAGGCTGGCTCAGCTCCAGAACCGTTCTGTATGCGGTGGCGAAGATATGTAATCCTGTCCTTGCCGGGATCGATACCCGAGCGTGCATCACTAAAATGAATAAAATATCTACCTCAGCTCTTGGCCATGTGTCTTCTTTCAAAGACAGTGATAGTCATAAAGTGTATGACATTTTTTAAACAAAGATTAGGCCTAAACGTCTTCGAAAACGGCTGTCTTCTGGGTTGTAGCGCCGTGTAGTTTACATTTCAGAGGCCCTTGATGCCTCCATTATCAGGGCGATGAGTCGCTACAACCCAGAAGACAAACATATTCAGACTCACTGCCGTGAAAATCCAAATCCTACTAATCTTCTTCGTTCAGAAATCGTCTAGAGAAACTTGAACATGGAACCAGGTATTAGGAAAGTAAATATCTAGTCAAAGTTTTAATGTTTCTGAAGATGATGCTTGAAATGTGTGAGATCGTTCTTTCTTATTTTGTCCATCGTCCGAATTATAATTACGATGTTTCGAAAGCATGATTCTGCATTCGTCATCAGGCAGACGGAAAGAGGACAGAAACCCAATTTATTTGGCCCCTAGTTAAGCTTGTCTGATGACGAAAGCAGAATTCAGCTTTCGAAACATCGTAATTTTATAATTTAAATGATGGAAATGTCTTACACAGTAAATATCTAACTTACAAAGGTGTCACTATGTAACTACGTCCATAAAATCGCTGTCATTTCTTACAATGTGTGGTGTGTTTATCAGCAGGTTATATTAAGTACCAGGCACATCGTAAAGTTATTAATTGTTAGTAGCTTATTGGGTGAGGATGTAATTCAAGATATTTGATATAATGTTTGTAGTGCGCCTCTTTGAATTTTAATTAGAAATTATACAAAGTGTAACTAAGAAAAACTTACATTAATTTACAAATAATAATAATAATAATTTTGTCTCTTTACTTTTTAATTAAAAAAAATAGAATTGAGAATAATGTTTTAGTTATATGGAATTAATAATATGATAATATTAAGAAGTTGTCTATACCTGAAAGTGTAAATTTTGTCAAGCCTGTATCAGGATTTTTAAATGTGAAATAAAAAGTATAGGATTTGATATTTCACAGCCGTATGTAGCCACTGTCTTTGAATAAAGAACTGAGGTGCATGTCTAAAAATGTATCGCTTCAAATTATGACAAGACTTTACGTGCTTGTGTGTGCACAAGGTATGTTCTGGTGCTAGTTACTGGAATATTTGTATCATTCTGTATCGGAATTAAAAACTGGATCTATTTGTAATCTGAAATGATGTTACCTGTCTTAGATTTATGACTATTTAAACGTCTGCTCTTGGACCCAACGACATGGTACGTAGTTGCAAATCGTTTCTGGCTCTGACGGGGAATGGTTTGAGAATCGATATTCGCGCAGGTGTGCAGGAATGTGCAAGTTATTTCTTCTTCTACACTTTCTTGTTTCAGAGAGGAAATGTCATTCCGAAACTTGGGAATCCCTCAAACTGTCAGCTGTGTCAGTCCACACGGACATGTTTGGTATTCTGACTGATCAAATTTATCACAGTACTACGCGCAAAGTACGGTTGTTGAGAGCAAAAGCCGAATAAAGGAAATCGTGTCGGCTTCTTTTAGCGCGTGTTGGCGGGTTGTCCTGAAGCCTCCGTTTATTTTGTGCGCTGGTTAGGAGAGTCCGATGGCAGACGGAGAAGGTGATCCTGCTCTACCAGTGGAACCGGCCGTGGCTACGGGCGAGACCATCCCGCCGCCCTGGGGGTGGCACAATCCCGACGGGGGTGGTGGGATGAGAGGTGGCATGTGGTGTCTCCCGAGTAGGGCTGCTGCCGTGAGATGGTGTGCGGGCCCCACGAGTAAAGTGGGGTCCGGGTGGGGGTGGAAGTACTGCTGCAGAGCTGGGTGGTGAGGTCCAGGGCCGTACAGATGTGGCGGCCGAGCTGCTGCCACCGCTGCCATTTTGAGCTTCTCGATTTCGGCTTCTTGTAGCCGTTTCGCCTTTGCACGTCGATTCTGGAACCATATCTTTACCTGCAGGAAGAAAGTCCAAATATGTTCCTTAGAACACTGTTTCTAGGCATTCTCAGTCGATACCCTTTCCCTGAAAGTGAGAGGTCAACGTTCACACTCGTGAAAGCAACACCTAACCTATTAACTTAATCTCTTATTACAGTAATATTATTTCGAACACAGAAGAGAATAAAACGTGTAGCGAGCACGAAATATTTTGTGTTTAACCATTTGAAGTAGAAGCTCATCTAAATAATATATAAAAAATTAGTCCCGACCGAAAATAAAACACAACAATTCACCATTAGGCCACAAATACCAACTGGTTAATGCTGTTTAAGGAAATAATCTCTATTTATTTTGTGAATCATACGAAACCCATTAATACACTCTACGCGCAAAATAGACTATACAAGCAGATGGTAGTTATAGTTACCAGTGAGATTTAAGGAGTTAGTAATTAAATGAGAACTCGCCTGTGTCTCAGTGAGGTGCAGGGAAGATGAGAACTCTGCCCGCTCCGCGATGCTCAGGTATTGTTTCTCCCGGAACTTCTTCTCCAGAGACAGCAGCTGCTGCGTCGTGAAAGGCGTCCGTGGCTTCCTATTCGGCTTGTGTTTCCTCAGATTACACTTCAGTTTCGGAGCGTCGCTACCTCCAGAATCTGAAGCCCAAACAAACGAAAATCACCTTCTCTCCAACAAAGAGAAATGCACGTTAATGCGGCAGGATTTAATTCTCCTAAGCAGCTTCAAACAGGCTCAGAAGTAAGGACGCCACACTTACAGGCCTGTTCCCATATACATTCGCGTAGATACGACGTTAGTATTTTACGCAAATAGACAGCTCGTCATTCCGTCATTTAGTCTCTGTCACGTTCTCACACTCTGTTTCTTGGATATCTTCGCATCTGCATATAGGTGCTTCTGAGTTATCTGTTCTCTTCAGGTCTTCCGACCAAAATATTATGTCCATTTACCCTTTTTATGAATGTTCTTGTCTTGTCCACCTCATCCTCCTTGATCTGACCACCACAAATTACATTTGAGTTTCTCTCGACGGTGAAAATGTGGATTGTGGTCTTCTGGGCTGTGACTACGTGTATGTTGGGTAACCTCCTACAGGACTACATGTTGTCACAATCGAGAGTATCACAATCGATGTATTTCGTGAGGACTATAAGTTATGAAGCTTCTTATTATATAACATTCTCCGCCATTTTCTTTTCTAAGAGGTACAACCTTAAGTAAATGTCAAATTGAAACTCAATGAATCAGGGGACCGGCAGAAAATAATTAAAATTTAATTCTGCAGTTAAGATCTAATCTTTTATATTCATTCAGTTTTTAACACATTATAAAATACTATACCTTTACAGTATTTTATTCACATGTATTAAATCTAATAAGGATTTCTTACATTATAAGAAAAGATTTAGTAAGGACAAGTAAAGACGGAACAAGATTTTTCAGTATGCAATCCGTACTTCTGACGTGTTTCGGCAGGTCCGTGGTTAGAATCTCGACTAAATACATATTGTCCTGACAGACTTTCCGTACTTTTTCTCAGTCCCTCCCCACTAAATGTCAAGCTGGTACTTTGAATTGTGAAATGACTGATTTATTATTAAAACGTTAAAGTTCACTCTACGCGTTCATCCTCTCATATCATCAAATGCTAAGTAACCTTTCAGTTAGTATATTGTCGTTAAATAACCTTTGATCCATCCAGTAAGTAAATAATTATAAATTGTAGTATATTTGAAATACTTTATATTTTGGACTAAGTACCATTCATATTGGACGATATATAGACTACACAGAACAATAATCTATGCTCACACTCTCAATATAGTGTTCTCGTTTTGTCAACAATTGTATTTATGATTAGATAAAAAGTTAATATTAAAATTAATCTTGCAAATGAAATGTGAAATTATATAGTCTGCTAAATTTTTATAGGATTCAAGTTTCTCACAGCGGCGAGTATAAAGATGGCTGTCTTCTGGTTTGTAGAGACCGACGTTCGAGAGGTGCTTGCTGCGTCCGTTATCATGGCAATGATTAGCACTCATAATGGAGGCAGCAAGCACCTCTGAAGCCAAGCTACAAGGCACAGCTACTCAGAAGATAGCCATCTTCATACTAAGTTCACGTGTCTTATGATATAATCTAGCGGCGGTCTCTTGGAACCTTTGGTATTCATAAAAGGAAGGTCACTTATTGACTAGGTGAGCTACTGTCAGATTCTCAACAGGGAATCTGTTCTACAGAGTTAGAATTTATGGTCCCATGCTTTTCGTATAGTGGGCCTATCTGTACCACTGTTCTCTTTGTCAACACTAGATTTTGTCTACAATACATGAAAATTAAAACCAATTACAAAACGAATAAAACATAAAAGAGGTCTTCGGAAACTTTGTGTACCTCAAGCTGCGACACACCTTCCCACACCTATCTTTGTCGAAACAAGGTTAAGACTGTTTTACTTTAAAAGCTACGTCAGAAGATTATTATCTCATAACCTTACAACGTCTGCACTTTTTATCAAAGTATAACAATAGTTTAACCCCTGAAGTATATCACTATTTTAATTTATAGGGTCTTGTCTGTTTACCCTGACCTGTGGTTCAGAATAATACAATTACGCAAACACTGACATTGTCACTTCATTTGCATGTGTTTAAATACAATGCTACATTTTAATTTGTAATTTGCTTGGCTGTAATTGTATTCCAATTTATATTAATGAATGAGGATGACCGATACATTTCCATCATGTCGTTTTATTTTCCCCGCAAGACAATAAGACCATTTATTTTGTGTAAACATAGTGTATGCAAAATGTAAATCCAAATTTAAAAATTGTACTCATTTTTACGTTAGCCTGGAAAGACCTGTCTGTAAAGTTACTGGCTACGGGATTCGATGCTGAGGAGGGGCCCGTATTTTTTTTTCTAACTCGGCTTTAGTCCCGTGGGTATTGGAGACTTCGTCTGTGTCAAAGCAGCCTAAACGTGAAGCTTACGACTTTCCTACATTTAGTACGAAGTCTATGAGTAGAACTACGTAATATTTTGTTTTCCCGTCTCCTCTCTCAAAGCTACAATTGGTTAAGAGAGATTAGGAATCATCATTAGCAAAATTGTAAGTGGTGTTAAATACGTTATTCAAAACTGATCGATTTCACTAGACCGTTTCATGTAATTCAGAATATTACAGACACGGGAACAGAAGTTAACAAGGAAGCGTTCAGTTATTCTGAGTACTGAATATTCAGTGCGGAATGTTGACTCGCATTGGATTTCCATGGTAAAAATATTATTTACCTTCCATTGCGGCAGAACCTGATTACCATGACAATGCCGCATTAAGTTTAAGTAGCATGTAACATCTTTAGTTTCATGAGAATTGCACCACTATTTTTCCCTTCATTATTTTAATGTATCAAATAGCAAATGGATTATTGACGTGTCTACAACACTGAGTATTTACGAAGTACGTCTATAAAACTTGTGGATGCAGTTAATAACTATCGAGATGTTACTAACACTCCTTTAGGTATGTGAAATGTTTACATAAATCAAACACACAAACAGCATTAAGACTGCTATTACGATAGAAACTAAGTAGTTCTATAGCTTCATTTTAAAATTGGTATTAGGAGAAGAATGTATAAGTAGGAAAGACATAGTGCATGGAAGAAGAAACATTACCGAACGAATTGCATTGGCAGTCCATTGGCAACTCATGGGCCTGATACTGTAAGGAGACAGTTTTAATGAGGATAATCTCATGCCAATTTGTTAGAATGATTCGTGTGGGTTAATAATTAGAGGCTTCGCGGGAGAGCAGGTGTAGCTCCTATTCGTTCTTGACCTCGGCGCTAGATGGGGGTGAGTGTGCAGAGTCACACACCAGCAGTCCTTTGCCCCCAGGGAAAGGTTTCCTGATACACGGTATCAGTATTTTTGAAATTTCATCACTGTGCGTTCTTTTAAATAACCTGATCTCAGTTACTTTTCTGGCTTACTTAGATAAGAGTAGACCATTTTGGCTCTTATATGAACACAATCATTAGGCCTATTTTATAATACTTTAAAGAATTCGTGTTTTTCCTCTCAGTAGAACATTTTTCATTCGTGCCGAGTATTGAAATAGTTAATTAATTTCTTTTTTAATTTTTGTTCAGGATGACTGACTGACTGACTGACTTTCTCAACTTGTCTTTTATTTACACTAGTTCAGCTCTTATTAACCAATCTTATTTCTAAGATAGGACCCTTGGGTTTTTGCATGGTATTTCTATTTTAGTTTCCGAGCTCTTAGGAGAAGACTTTCACTTTCAGTTTGTGTTACAACACAAAGTTTAACAAAGAAAGCATACTGTCAGGCTGTGGCCATAGTTTCTGAATCGTCTGATTACAAACTGCCTCGTTAATGTTAATAAAATTGACAGCATACAGCCAGATCCGAACTGTAATGTGCATCTGGTCTAATAAGTATAAAATGTATATTTAAATCAATACAATTTCATATGGAAAACACATTCTTTGGAGTAAAATATATTTACGAATTGTTTTTTGTAAACTTTCTCCTGCACATAATAAGCTGTGCAGTAAAAAGTGTGGAGAGACCTTGTTTCCGTTATATACGAGGCTTGCTAGGCATTTTAACAACCCTTCTAGAGCTAACGCATTTAGTTGTATTTTTCTTCAAAGGCGACTTATGTGTTATCCAGATTCTTTCTCACTAATTAATTGCAGCAAGAGCTAACAAGAATGTACGAACAGGACATCTGCGAATTTGGTGGCTCCCTTTTTCTTAAAAACAACAAGAAGATGCAGCTACATAAACCGGCAGGCTGCTGGAAGAGGTAACCAGAGTCAGGAATTCAGCCGGCTAACTTCGCCATTCTCATATTAAACTTCGTCACAATGTTATTGCAACAGACAATACATCCGTGTGATTACAGATCGGGTAATGTTCGCTGAACGCTTGGTACCATTCAGATCGTAATTTCCTTATATTCTATTTTGCTGTCTACAAACCAAAGTATTCAAATAAAATGTAGAAACTCATAATCATAAACTCCTTGTTGTGTTTTAGCTCTTTATAAGAAAGAGAGTTGGTCACTCGCCCCAAGAGAACATCACCGTACTTGAGAAGTGGCTCCAGAAGACAGGGCTTAACTCAAGAGAACGGAAGTAACAAAAGGCATGAGAAAATCACATAAACTGACTAGAAGGTTATAATTTACATTCAAATAGTAACAAAATCCACACAACAGAGTCCTTCTTGATAAGCTAATAGTCGCTCAGTTTGTCATAAAATTTCCTGTCTTTATTTGATTTCAAGACCCGTTACCTTGTTCATTGTAGCTCATGACTGGACATTACACTGAGCAACATAAATGCAATACAAGTTCTGAAATCCTATTTACTTATGTCAGTGTTAATATCACACTCAGTTTACCCCCTTCTCTTCACGTTTTCTGTCTAGAATTTTATATTCAATTCTCATTCTCCTACACTTGTTACATGTCCGATTTCATTTATCCTCCATGCCTTGATCAAATTACTGACACTTGGGGAACAGAAGAGAGAGTTTCAGTTAAGTTTAGCGAATGTTCTCCAGGAAGATAATTCCGTCTTTTTTTAAATCG